TTGCCAGCCCTATTGGTGGTAGGCGGGTGACTGATGATGCAAATGGAAGCCTGAGTGTCCTCTAAACGATGCAATTTGTTTGACCCACCTAGCTTATATACTCCGGCCGCTAGAGGTCGCAGAAGGGTGGAAAACACCTGTGTGCAGGCAAATGACCATGGTGCATTCTATAGGATTCCACGCTCCTGGTGGTGGTAGGCGGGTGGTTGATGGTGATAATGGAAGCCCGAGTGTCCTCTAGGTGATCCACTTGGTTTCATCCCCCGCTCATATACCCCTTAACTGGAAACACAAAAAGGTAAAAGTAGAAATTTTGAAATTTTCACTTTTGTTGATTGCCACTCACCTGTTCAACCTATATCTGAGATTGATGTCTCTAATTAACGTGCACCTGTGCGGCTACATGAATCAAATAGTTTGCGCCATCTTAGATCACCCTAATGGCCGCAAAAGGGTGACACGTTAAATTCCAATATGTTTTTGGTCAATTGCCACGCCCCTATTGGTGGTAGGCGGGTGACTGATGATGCAAATGGAAGCCCTGAGTGTCCTTAACGATGCAATTGTTTGACCCACCAGCTATATACTCCGGCCGCTAGAGGTCGCAGAAGGGTGGAAAACACCTGTGTGCAGGGCAAATGACCCATGGTGCATTCTATAGATTCCCACGCTCCTGGTGGTGGTAGGCGGGTGGTTGATGGTGAAGGAAGCCCGAGTGTCCTCTAGGTGATCCACTGGTTTCATCCCGCCATATACCCCTTAACTGGAAACACAAAAGGTAAAAGTAAAATTTTGAAATTTTCACTTTTGTTGATTGCCACTCACCTGTTCAACCTATATCTGAGATTGATGTCTCTAATTAACGTGCACCTGTGCGGCTACATGAATCAAATAGTTTGCGCCATCTTAGATCACCCTGTTTAGCGCCTAGGCCGCAAAGGGTGCACGTTAAATTCCAATATGTTTTTGGTCAATTGCCACGCCCTATTGGTGGTAGGCGGGTGACTGATGAGCAAATGGAAGCCTGGGTCCTCTAAACGATGCAATTTGTTTGACCACCTAGCTTATATACTCCGCGCTAGAGGTCGCAGAAGGTGGAAAACACCTGTGTGCAGGGCAAAATGACCCATGGTGCATTCTATAGATTCCCACGCTCCTGGTGGTGGTAGGCGGGTGGTTGATGGTGATAATGGAAGCCCGAGTGTCCTCTGTGATCCACTTGGTTTCATCCCCGCTCATATACCCCTTAACTGGAAACAAAAAGGTAAAAGTAGAAATTTTGAAATTTTCACTTTTGTTGATTGCCACTCACCTGTTCAACCTATATCTGAGATTGATGTTCTACTAACGTGCACCTGTGCGGCTACATGAATCAAATAGTTTGCGCCATCTTAGATCACCCTGTTTAGGCGCTAATGGCCGCAAAGGTGCACGTTAAATCTAATATGTTTTGGTCAATTGCCACGCCCCTATTGGTGGTAGGCGGGACTGATGATGCAAATCTGAGTGTCCTCTAAACGATGCATTGTACTCACCTATTTATACTCCGGCCGCTAGAGGTCGCAGAAGGGTGAAAACACCTGTGTGCAGGGCAAAATGACCCATGTGCATTCTATAGGATCTCGCTCCTGGTGGTGGTAGGCGGTGGTTGATGTGATAATGGAAGCCCGATCCTCTAGGTGATCCACTGGTTTCATCCCCCGCTCATATACCCCTTAACTGGAAACACAAAAGGTAAAAGAGAAATTTTGAAATTTTCACTTTTTGTTGATTGCCACTCACCTGTTCAACCTATATCTGAGATTGATGTTCTAATTAACGCACCTGTGCGGCTACATGAATCAAATAGTTTGCGCCATTCTAGATCACCCTGTTTAGGCGCTAATGGCCGCAAAAGGGTGACACGTTAAATTCAATATGTTTTGGTCAATTGCCACGCCCCTATTGGTGGTAGGCGGGTGACGATGATGCAAATGGAAGCCTGAGTGTCCCTCAACGATGCAATTTGTTTGACCATCAGCTTATATACTCCGGCCGCAGAGGTCCAGAAGGGGAAAACACCTGTGTGCAGGCAAAATGACCCATGGTGCATTCTATAGATTCCACGCTCCTGGTGGTGGTAGGCGGGTGGTTGATGGTGATAATGGAAGCCGAGTGTCTCAGGTGACCACTTGGTTTCATCCCCGCTCATAGCACACAACCGAACGAGCACAAG